GGCTTGCGGCGCGCGCGCGCCTGGCTGACGAAGCCCGTGTTGTAGCTGAAGCCTTGCAGGCCTTGACTCCCAGATAGCAGTAGGGATAATGATATATTGTGGTAGACTAGTACATTATAGTAACATTATAGTATATTGTGGCCTATTATGGTGTATTATAGTATGTTGTAGTAGATAACGGAAAAGAAAATGGAAGCTACTATAGGGTTATAAACGGGGTTATACAAGGATAATAGAAAAGAACATGGAAGTTGTAACGGGTTATATAGGGGTTATATACGCATAATGGAAGCAAAAAACGGAAGCTACTATAAGGTTATATCGGAGTCATGTAGGGATACTGGAAAAGAAAAGAAAGCTACTATAAGGTTTTACAAGGGGTTATATAGGGGTTCTGTACGGACAATGGAAAAGAACATGGAAGCTACTATAGTGTTATTTCGGGGGTTCTATTGGGGTTGTATAGGGATAATGCTCAGGCCTTGACTCCAACATGGCAGCAATGCCATCTCCAACGGCAAGGTAATTGGCTAGCGGCCAGGTTATCTTTGGTCATTGTTCCGCACACCTTGACTGAACCGCAGGCCGTTCCTGCCCGACCGGGCGAGCCGCCCCCAGTGCATGAGGCAGGGACTTTGGCTGACAACAGATACAACATCCGCATTTGGGGGTTTCTCAAACTTAGGGGTTATATTGGGTTGCACCGCCAGCAGGCCCTTCTGCCTGTTTGCCGACTGTAGATCCGACCTTTCTCATTTGGGTTTTTCTCAAAGTTATCGGCAACTTTGGGTTCTAGGTTATATTCTGTCACCTAATATTTACAGCTATCAAAATGCAACCCTGATTTTGGGAACTAACCATCTGTTACTGTTGCCATAGAGGCCGCTGCGGGCTTTGGGACGAAGGGCTTAGTCCCTCCCCCGAATATTAACTCCCCCCCCCTTCATATTCAATATGCCCAATATATACTATGGCATACCACAATGCGGAGTATTCATTATTAGGGGGGTGGGGAGGTTTAAAATTTGGGGGGAGGGGATTAATTCTTAATGATCCGGTCAGGCTCTGCCCTCCAAGTCAGCCTTGCTTCTCGAGGAGGTTGGGCAGGGAGGGTGCCGACAACTATGTGAGCCGTAGTCTAAACTCCTTAAACTGGGGATATATAGGGGATTACAAAGGGACTACTATAGGGCTTACTAGGGGGAAATGCTAGGAGTTTAGACTATAGCTCATATGGTCACTATGTTCGCTTCCGCCATTTGAAGGACGCCTTGGCGCAACTTGCCACCTATGCGCTGCCGAAAGAGGCCTCTCGCCGCAGTAATGGAGAATCGAATGGACAAGAAAGTGGAAATGAAACGGAAACTGCGTTTACCTTGAGGTTTGCATGTGTATAAACATTGCTTAAGGAAGCAGTTTGGCACACACAATGGAGCGCAGCTCAATGTCCACTTGAAGATAGGAAGCAAACCATCCCTCGCAGCTCCTGCGCTCGTCATCGCGGTTTAGGGTTTAGGGTTTAGAAATTTGAATCTAGGGTTTGGGGTTTAGAATTTGTCCCTAACCTTGCAGTCCGTCAGTAAGAGAAGGGGAGTGAGCTGGAGCAAGTAGAGGTGTAGCAGTTGGCCAGATTTGCTTGTTACCGTTTTCTCAGGGCTTCTGTGCTGTTTGTTGCTGCAGCCAGTGATAGAAAATGGAATTACCCAATCTTATACTACGATTCCCATATACCCCATAGTCTATCTACTTAGGTGGACCCGCCATCCAATAATAGTGGCTATAAGGGACAATAAGGATTATATCAGGGTCCTCGCATATTCCTAGCATACCACTATTACAGGGTGGGGGGTCCTCCTAATACTGTATCTACTTCAGCGGGGATTCTCACTGCACTACGAGATGCAAGTTGAGCGCTCACGTGTCAGGCGTGCATCCGAGCGTCTGAGCCCCAGCAGCTGGTGAAAGCCTTTGAACCAGCATAGTAGCACTTCTAGGAACAACAGTTACCTGGACCCCAAAAGTGGGTAACATGATCGCCCAAAACCCCTAGAAATAGCCCCAAAGGCCATTAACTATTCTACATACTTTCGGGGTTCAGGTGCTAGTAATTTGGGCAGTAGTCACTTAATGGTTTTTATAGGCTGGTTGTCAGGTTCCATGTTAGTTTGGGGGGAGAGGAAACTTGGCGACCTGCACTTTACTGATATCCGATCGACCTCTCTCTCCTGCAACACTGCGGGCGGATGGCGTGATATTCTTCTGCAAAGCTCTTTGCATACAGCCTCACCTTACTGGGTTAGTAGGGACAAAGGGAATATGCCTTACAGGGTTTATATAGGGATGATCTTCCCTCATTCCCTAACAAGCCCAGCCCCTCACCCTAAACCCTATGAAATAGGGCTTATATTCCCTTATTGCCTAGTAACAACCTGTAAGTCACAGCATGGCTCCGGAGACCTTGGCACGCCCAAAAGCCTGCAAGCTGGGAACAGTGTAGCAGGAACAGGGTTTAGGGCGTTTAGGGTTTAGGGTGAATAGGCATGATACCAGCAACTGCGAATACCTAGAGAGAGCTTACGCATTTACACCCATATAGACCTCAATGTAAAACTAGTTTCCATTTCATTTTCCATGTTCTTTTCCACTATCGGGGTAGTACAGTTACATATCACTATATACCCCATGTCCATTTCAATGTTCATGTTTCCTTTCCATTTTATTCTTCATTATTGCCCGCGTTGTCCAAGGCTGGCCTGGTTTGAGTGCGACGCAGACAAAGCTTTGGATTTCTTGCTCGACACTGACGAAGGCCGCGCACCATGCAGCCTTGCACCCTAAACCCTAAACCCTAAATATGAAGGGACTCTACTGGTAACCCCAAGAATATAGTAGGTATATAATAGGAATATACCTGCCAGGGTCCTTCTATTCCATTATATATCCTGCTATATTCTTGGGGTTCCCTATTTGGGGTTCCCAGTAGAGTCCCTTAAAAATACAGAGCTCCGGGTGATCAAGGGATCTGTGATCTGTACCGGATTCTTATAATCCCTATAATGAGCTGTTTAGGGTTTAGGGTTTAGCCGTATTAAGGGACCTCTTATTCCCTACTGAGAACCAGTAGGTAAACCCTAATTCCAGCCATAAACCCTATGGGGAGAGATGAAGGAATGGATCCGTATAGTAGTCCCTACATAACCCATTATGGTAGTTTCCATTTTCTTTTCCACTCCTTCATTCCCAGCTAACCAAAGGTAAGGGTTTGGCTGGGGAGAAACCCTAAACCCTATGGGAGAGTCTTCCCAATCTCGGCCAGGCGTGGCGCTGTGTTTGAAAGAGGGCATGGACCCTCTCAGCGTCGATGCGTCGCAGAAAATGGCTGGGTTCTGTTTTTGGGTTTAGGGTTTATATAGGGTTCAGGATTTATGGTTTAGGGGCTTATATATATGTATAGGGGACTATATAGGGCGTATTATTTCAACGTACTTCTGTTGGATTCACTTTCATCAGTGTTCCCCAGGCGTTGCTGCCCGGCACCCTAGGACTTAGCCCGACTGATGATCAGCATTTTGCCTCAGTTGAGCTACAGCCTAAACCCGTCAAAGGGGACATTATTTAGGGGAGTACTACATTAGACTATAGCTCAGTTGAAGTTTCATGTTGCACATGAGCCAGTTTTTTTCAAGCTGTCGAGTCGGGACCGTCTGTCAAGACCTGTCGCCCTTCGAGACAAGGTGAAGGTTTTGCCTTTTTGGGGATTCCCTATAACAAGGACAATAGCATTTTGGGGTTTATACTGGGGTGCCACTATGCAGGGAAAGTACGTTATCAGCATCAGCATGCCGCTGCGCCTTTGTTTTTTGCATGCTGCAGCAGCTTCCATCTATTGAAGGAGCACGGTGACAGCTCAACACGTGCCCCCAGGTATCTGGAAGCGCAGATATGTTGCACCTAAACACGCTGGCCCACTGGAGTTGTCGTGTGTCAGTGCCCAGGGGTGCAGAAGATTTCTTTGTGGAAGCGTGAGGCACATTAATCACAGACGCCTGCCTGAAGTATGATCTCAGATGAATTTTCATGATGCCGGCGTCCTCGGTACATAGCATGAGAGCCACCACCGACTTGAGGCCAGAAACTGTTTGACATTCATTGAAATTCATTGAAACACGGGTCCCTCCTTGTTGATTGTGCCCCAAAAGAGGGACCCAGAACTTTGAGAAACTAATTACTTGCCCATACCCCTTGCAGGGCGGATCTAGAAAGTAGATCCTGCTTAAGGGTTGCTAGAAACTGCCCAGTGGTAGTATAAGGTACATTAAGGTACCATATTTGGGGTTCTAATTTCTAGATCCTCCCAGGGGTCTTTGTGCAGGGCTTCTTTCGCCGTCATTGTTCAAGTCTTTTTTGTGTGGCGCCGCTGAAGAGCGCATGGAAGCGAGAATGCGCGCGGCAGAAGACTTCAACCAGGATGCCACATTGGGCGCACCTCAGGCCAGGTGGTAAGGTTTGGGGTTCAGAGTTTAGGACGGAAATGCAGCTGAGTTTTTCCTAGGATGAAATTTTAACATAACGTAGTATAGCGCAATCACTTCATGTGTATCTGTTTGTATGCATACCATGATGATATGTACACATCAAGTGCATGGCCTAAGCCCTTGTATGCCCTGCCCGCGCCGCAGGCCAGTTTCAGAGTGTTTTGCTTGAAGCATGGTATTCTGATTTGGAAAGCACACAAAGCCCTGGCAAAGTACAGCTGCCAGGTGACTGCACCCAATGATCTCAACCAAAAAGGGCTTAAGTTTCGGTACGCATTGGGGTAATATTAGGCTTGTACTGGGGTTATTGGGATAATGCGAAAGAAAATGGAAGCTGCAGGGATTATAGAGGCTATTTAAGGGTTACGCTACAAAAAAAAAAACGCCTTTGAATTGAAATCGCTCTGACAGGTTAAAGGATCCTCCCCGCAAACTACCCGCAACCCTAGCTCCTAACCCTGCCAGCTCACGGGGCGCTTGGTCCTGCGAAACACCTTCATCGAGCTGGAGGAGACGTTGCCAACATTTCCATTGACTGTTCCGGGTTCCCCGGGCTGAGTTGCTGTTGAGGAATTTTGGATCACGGACATCAAGCCCCTATGATTTACTCAGGATCCTTGCGAGATCCTGCAAGTGTACAGGTGAATGCTGTTGCTGTTTCTTCTTCCTGCCCTCACCCTTGCTAATTACTAATATCCGGTTGCTTACACGCGGCAGCGCTGATGGTGGTGGACAACTGTGGCAACCTGAGGGTTCTTGCATCAACCTTTGCTTTTCTGGTGTTGAATTCGTGTTATCTTCGGGCTCGTTGAGGACGAAGACGTGACAGCGGACTTCCCGTTTGGGCGAGCACGCGCTTGCAGCGACAGTTGCCTCTTCGATGCCACCACGCCCAAGGCACCAGATGATGAGGCACAGAAGCTATGCATTGAAGCTATGCATTCAATATCTCGGCATACGTGGAAGAGTCGGGTAGAGGCTGTATAGTTGAGGGTTTGTGGGGGGGTGGGGGGGCTGGGGGCGCCAGTTCAGCCATAGCACGGGCGTTGCCAAATTGCTTTTCCAAGGCGTCGCTGTGATGTAATGAATTGTTGCTTTCGAAATACATGCAGCCACCCCCTAAATTTCTATGTAAGTAGTCTTGATGCGACCTTTTGTTAGGGAATAACTTTTGCAATCGTTTTTCTTTTTTAATTGGGACCCGGCTATTTTTTGAATATTCCGATGCCCCCAAACAATAATACCATATCCTGAATAATTTTCCCCGAATGTTTTCTGATTCCGAACCCCCTCTACAAAGCGGGTCCAACATCATGGGGATGCATCGCGGCGTAATTTTGCTCGCTCACCCAGGCCACTGCCTGAAAGCAAAGCAACAGCGCGGATGACCACACTGCGCATGTTACGTTTTCAATACAGTCTGGTACGCGTTCATTAGCCGTTGCACAGGGAACGTGATATGTAAGACCTTGCAATGATGCACAAAACGGCATGCATTTGTTGGAATTGAGATTGTGGTGGGGGCAAGCTAGGTCTGCGCTAGAGATTTTTATGATATGTTATGATATACCAAAATGTAATAGTTTCAGCCCCGGCTTGTGCGTCCGCAATGCAGGCTTCGCGCGCGGACCTCAACGTCTCAATCGAGTTGACAGGGGCCAGTTGTCTGAACACTCCGAGATCGGAGTCCTGGCTGCGCTTCGCATGTCAACGCTCTTGGACCCATCCAGGGAGCCCAAAGATTCATTATATAGGGTTATACAGGGGATACATTGGGATTGTAATAGCTTTTATTGGGATGATGGAAAAGAAAATGGAAACTACTACCATGTGGTTTTTTAACCCTTATATAGCATGTTTCTTGAAGTCCTTTGCTTTGCACCATTGCACTCTCAAAAGAGCAGACAGAACCACAGCAATCCTCTGCTTACAGCAGCAGACAATAGACGTGTCCAAAGAAGCCTGCAGCTTTGAGCAGCATGTTTATCTTTTCTTGACGCCGGCACTGGTCTTGGCTTGATGCTGCCAACTGGCATGATATCCGTAGGATGTAGCAACCAGAGCCTGGAAATCCGAAGGACTTGCAAGTTACCAGTATATATTGGGGTAATATTGGGATAATGGAAAAGAAAATGGAAACTACAGGGATTATAGGAGTTATATAGGGGATATAGGCTTTCAAGTTGTGATCATCATCCTTTTTCTCATTGTTGTACTTGGACTAACTGAGGATGAGCCAGACAGCCCGGGTACCAAAGGACCGTCGATGGATTTTCAAACTGCATAACTCGCAGGTCGCAGAAATTTTCATCCTTGTGGACTAACCCAGGTTTCCATTTCAGGCCAAGCAGTTTCGGCTACCTCGCAAAATGGTGCTGGTACGGTGGATACTAAAAATCCTGCATGACCCTAAATACCCTAAACCTTGGGAATACTGGTACTATAGTATACTTAGGTCATGCAGAATTTTTAGTATCAACAGTAGGATGCTGTCTGTGAATACTTCTGCAGCAGCTACAATTTGCCGTGCTGGCGCCAGTACGGCCGCCTGCTGAAGCTGCTCGGCAGTGGCGGCAGCAGCAGGGAGCAGCAGCCAACAACAACAGCAACAACAACAGCAATAATATTAACAAAAATAATAACAATAGTATTAATACTAGTAATAACAAGAATAATAAAAGCAACAATAATTTAAAAAAACATAATAAAAACAATAGCAAGAGAATAAAAAATATTGATAACAATAATAATAACAACAATAATAATAACAACAATAATAGTAACAACAATAACAATAATAGTAATAACAAATAATAGTAGTAATAACGGTATTACGGCCACTTCATCAGGTTCACGATTCTGATTGCCATGTAGGGCCATCCTTGGAGGAGTTCCCGCGCTTCCCTTTACGAACACGCCTTTGCCTCTACCTGAACTTCAGGCCTTGTCGCGACCAGAGAGAGTTGGTAGTGAGAGTGGACGCTGCAGAAGGCAACATATTCACATGCGTAGGTGTATATATATATATTACTATATATATATGTATATGTATATTTTTTGAGAGGGCTAGCTTGCACAGGTTCCCAGGCAGACCGGCCAGCAGACAGTGTCCAAAGACGACTTAGACCGCTTGTCACAGGAGGTGTCCCAGTTCCTTTGCTGCACAGCCTGCTAGTCATCGCATCCGATACTGACATTTGAGCTTTAGCATCACCCATCCTTAATATTGGCTTGGTGGGGGGGGCGGGGGTACGTGCTTCAGCCTATATTTTCAAAGCCATTTTTGGGACATCTATGGGGTACATGTTGAGGGGCTCAAAAAATGGCTCGGTAGACGTCAGAGGTCCGCCAAGCCATTTCTTGTGGAAATCTCTAGGATACATGTTGAGGGCGTAGGATAATGGCTTGGCAGACGTGGAGAGGTCCGCCAAGCCATTTCGTCACTCCAAGGGACGCTCACTACTTTTAGGCTTTCTGAGGCCGCGCCTTGTTTGGTGTAAGTGAAACGTTCTAACGTCTCCACACGCTCCCTATGACAGAGGTTTCCATGGGAGCATGAGTTGTTGAAGGAAGTCGCTGATGTGTGAACTTTGCAAAGCACATGAAATTGAATTTGCACACTTCTCTTCTTTGTGTTTGCTTGCAGGCTACCCCGCGCTTTCAGAAAACTGACTCCATGCCAATGTGGGCCTCGCGCAGCACATAATTGCATATTCGTACTAGTAGTGAAAAGTAAGTCGAAAATCCGCCTGCATGTGAAGCACCAACC